ATATTCGGGCTGTGGCCCAGACTTATGGCCGCTAGGCGGCGCCCTTGATTATTATTTAGCCATCAGGGCATTCCGGACCGTAGCTGCTCAGGGGCGCATCCCGTGATGTCGGGCGGAATAGCTTTGCATATACGTCGGTTTGTGGGCTGGGAAAACCTTTGTTTTGTGTTTACGTTGGTTCAAAATTTTAGTCGTTGAAACAGCCCGTTGCGTTTGAAGTTGTTACTTAATGGTGCGCACAATAAAATTAGTGTGCTTAACTATGGTGCATCTCCCACCTCTGCTGCGGAACTCCGTAGCCGTAGGTGGCCAAGTGACCTCCTACCAACTGATGATCAGTGACGTCACATACTCAGGTGATTCGGCGGAGCCTTCATACAGCACGCGAATATTTGCAGCAGCCAGGTACGAAAGGCAAATATGGAGCATGACCTGTTGCGCCTGATGTTTAGTCGAGCACCAGTAACGTCATGTCGTCAGCTGATGCATTATAACCTAAAATGGGTTCAAAGGAGCCCGTAAAAAACTCGTGACCAGTGACGTCACACACTCAGGAGATTCGACGGAGCCTTCATTCAGCACGTCAGTGCCTTTAATAAACAAGTACAAAAGGTAAAGAAAGTACGTGGCATGTTGGACCTGATGTTAAGTCGAATAACAGTGACGACATATCATCCTGTGATGCTTCACGGGAGGTGTTGCTTTGTGGCCTTGGGCGGCCCAAGTGAATCCGTATGAACTCATGACCAGCGACGTCACCCACTCAGATGATTCGTCTGGAGTTTAGTTGATTACCAGTGACGTCATATCGTCAGCTGATGCTTGATGTCCGTCAGTCAGCCCGAGTAAACCTGCACAAACTCATGGCCAGTTACACCACACGCTCAGGCGAATCGACAGAGCCTTTTTGTAGTGCACGAATACTTGCAGTAGGCAGGTGCGAAAGATAAAGATGAAACATGGCTTATTGCAAGTGATGTTAATTCGAATACAAGTGACGCCATAACGTTATCTGATGCCTAATGACCTGAACTCGGCCAAAAAAGGCCCGTAAAAGCTCATGACCAGTGACGTCACACTCAGTGGATTACCAGTGACGTCATTTCGTTAGCTGATGCCTTATGGCTTTCGCTCAGCCAAAAATAGTTGGTAAAAATTCATGACCAGTGACGTCGCACACTCAGGTGACTCGGCAGAGCCATCATTTAACGCACCAATACTTAACAGGTACGAAAGGCAAAGATGGAACATGACCTGTTACGCCTCATGTTAAGTCGAACACCATTGACATCATGTCGTCAACTGATGCATGTTTCCTTATAGAGTTATAGAGGGTTCCAAGGAGCCAGAAAAAACTCATGACCAGTAACGTTACACACCCAGGAGACTCGACAGAGCCTTCATTCAGCACGTCAATACTTGTAATAGGCGTGTACGAAAGGTAAAGATAGAACATGGCCTGTCGCGCCTGATGTTAAGTCGGACACCAGTGACGTCATATCATCAGCTGATGCATTATACCGTTTGGGGGTACAAAAGGTCCTGTAAAAAGCTCTTGACCAGTGACGTTACTTACTCAGGAGACTCGACAGAGCCTTCATTCAGCACGCCCATACTTCCAAGAGACAGGTACGAAAGGTAAAGATAGAACATGGCCTGTCGCGCCTGGAGTTTAGTCGAATACCAGTGACGTCATATCGTCAGCTGATGCTTGATGTCCCTCATTCAGCCAGAGTAAACCCGCGTTAACTCATAACTAGTTACACCACACGCTAAGGTAATTCGGCAGAGCCCCTGTGTCGCGCGAATACTTGCAGTAGATAGGTGCGAAAGGTACAGACGAAACATGGTTTAGATGGAGCATGGCCTGTTGCGCATGATGTCTAGTCGAAACCCAGTGACATCATATCGTCAGCTGATGCCTTATGGCCTATAGTAGGCTCAAAAGAGTGTGCAAATTGATGGCCAGTGACGTACACACTCAGGTAATTTGGCAGAGCCTTCCACGGCAATGCTTGCAATGGACAGGTACCAAAGATAAAGGTGGAACATGGTCTGTCGCGCCCGAAGTTCATTCGAATACCAGTGACGTCACATCTTCAGTCATTGCCGTATGACCTTTCGTCGGCCCAAAAGAGGCCGTAAAACCTCATGACCAGCGACACGCACAGTCGAGTGCCAGCGACGTCACATCGTTAGCTGATGCTTTAGGGTCTTTAGTTGGCCGCACAAAAAATCCGCCAATACTTGCAGCAGACATGTACGAAAGGTATAAATGGAGCATGACCTGTTGCCTGATGTTCAGCCAAATACCAGTGACGTCATATCGCCAGCTGATGCCTAACGGCATTTCGTCGGTCCTATAGGGCCCGTGGAAACCCACGGCCATTGACGTCTTACAGTCGTATAGCAGTGACGTCGCTAGCTGACACCTTGTGGTCTTCAGTTGGCCGAAAAGCACCGTTGGAACTCATGGCCAGTGATGTCACACACTCAGGTGGTTCGGCAGCTTTCATCCAGCACGCCAATGCTTGCAGCAGACAAGTACAAAGGTAAAAATGAAGCACGGCCTGTTGCACCCAGTATTTATTCGAATACCAGTGACGTCACGCTATCCGGTGATACTTCGCGGACCACGACACACCGTGGTCGTGGGGCCTAAGTGCACTCGTATGAAGTGATGATTAGGGACGTCACACATTGGGGTAATTCGGTCAAACCCCTATGCGGCACGCAAATGCTTGCAGCAGACAGGTATGAAAAGTAAAGATGGAACGAGGCCGGCCGCGCCTGATGTTCAATCGAATACCAGTGACGACACATGGCCAGCTGATGCATTACGGCATTCAGTTGACCCAAAAGAGCCTTACACACTCACGACCAGTGACGTCACATACCCAGCCGAATACCAGTGACATCATATCACAAGCAAAAGCCTTATGGCCTTCAGTCGGCCCGAAAGAACCCCGACCCCGATCGATGCAAAACCATTTTCAGTGACGTCACAATGTTAGCTGATGCCTCACAGCTTTTGCCCCGCACGACAATACTCGAAATCCTGCAGCTACCGTAGCTCTTCCCTCCGTCGGCCATACAGGTACCCAAGTAAAAAATTACCATAGAATCATCACATGCCTCCCCACAAATATGGTATAAATGTTTGAGCTGCATTTGTTGTAGCAATCTTGCTGCCAAATCTTCATTTGAGTCTCAGATATCTGTTGGTTGTTCCTTGATTCTGTCCAGTCATGTTCGTTTGTTATGTTGTGCACACAAATTATTTTGGTGAGTCATTTACTTTAATTTTGGTCTGGCAGATTTTTATTTTGAAAAAAATGGCAAGTTAGTTGTTTCAAGCCAAGATTACGCTGGATGATTTGGTTTAACAGGGCACAGTAGTTACGAGTTTCCCAGTTTGCATCAAACAACAGAATGGCTGAGCTAAGCCATGCTGAGCATTCTGACAAGAATTTCATGGCTGTTTCAGCATGGGATCTATGAACTTTCAAAGCAAGTTTCAGGTGGCACCACCAGACAAAGGCAGCTTTCCCTTAGACCATGAGGGTGAATGTAAGAAGTTCATGCTGAAGTATATGGTCTGTCTGGGCCGAAACGACAATGACAACACACGCTGCCGTGTGGAGGCCAAGGACTACCTGGGCTGCCGCATGGACCATGATCTGATGGCCCGCGAGAGCTGGCAGAAACTGGGCTTCGCGGATCTGCAGAACAAAAGTGATGACAGCAAAGAGTAGTTGTGTTTTTCATTTCTAGGCGTGCTTCAGCTGTCTGGTCGGAGCTGTGGTGACCCCACCTGGTCTGTTGGGTGGGGCAATGGCCGGCGCCGAGTCGGAATCTGCCGCCGGAGACTGGCATGTGTTGCTCTGCTGCACGGGCAGCGTGGCCTCGCTCAAGGTGCCGGAGCTGGCGCGGCGCCTGCAGGCCGGCCCAGCGGACGGCGGACGGGCCGTGCACGTGCGTGTGGTCAGCACCGAGCACGCGCGCCACTTCTTCTCTCCGTCCGAGCTGCCGAACGGCGTGGCGCACCTGAGTGACGCCGACGAATGGGCCGCCTGGCGTGCGCGCGGCGACCCTGTGCTGCACATTGCGCTGCGTGAGTGGGCCGACCTGCTGCTGGTGGCGCCGCTCAGTGCCAACACGCTGGCCAAGCTGGCGCACGGATTGGCCGACGGCCTGGTGGCCTGCGTGGCGCGCGCCTGGCCCCTCGGCCGCCGGCCGGCGCTCGTCTGCCCGGCCATGAATACCGAGATGTGGCTGCACCCGGCCACGGCGCCGCAGCTGGCCACGCTCGCCGGCTGGGGCTACACGGTGGCGCCGCCTGTCGAGAAGACGCTCATCTGCGGCGAGACGGGCGTCGGCGCCATGGCGCACCTCGAGGACATCTGCAGTCGTGCGTTCGAGCTGCTCAGGGAGCGCGACCAGCGACCGGGCGGTCTCTAGCGGACCGAGGGTACGTGCGTAGGGAGGGTGCGCCGGCACGGCACCGGTGGTGGACGGCAGTCACCGCTACGGCAGCGGCGGGCAGCCCGCGGCCACGGCGCCGTTGCACCATGGGCGACTGTGCTGTGTGGTGCTGTACGCGACCACTCCCAGTGATAGTGCCGCCATCGCCGCCGGTGCGGTGTGCTGGAAGAACCATTTAGCTGCATGCCACAGGTTGAATGTGCAATTGGTTTGGGTCCAGCATGATTATTACTCCAGCCTTTGAGTGACTACGGGCGTGTGAATCACGAACGGTTTGAGGAAGCCGGTTTGTGAGGTTAGGCAAGCTGGCAGTGGTCTGTTAGTCTCGTTATGAGTTCGATCTGGCGAACAGACGACTGACTGGTGTGATATACAGGGTTGAGAGGGTCGTTGCGTTTGTGGTGCAGTTTCACCAGGTGATGTCGGTGTTTAGTGGACGTGATTCATTGCGCCGCCCAGCACCCTGGTTCAGCCGTCCAACGGATGCCCCACGCTTGGTGCTGCATTATTGTCTGGTTCGATAATATCTACTTCGGAAATGCACACACATCGAACTCTTTGCGATCTTTGGTATTGTATAATGTGCAATGCATATAACAAATGCATACTTATTAAAACAATCAAACATCACATCGCACGGGCACCGGAGTAATTGCTCAATCATTCACAAACTCTTAACACGTCTGATCAGCGACCGCCACAAGAGCACAGGTACATGGTGGAAGAATGGACGCCATACCTCCGATGCGGGACAGGACGCCGTGAGAAAATAGATACCAAAGCATCCCAGGAAAAGACGTCACCGCAAACAGAGCATCCTCTTTCGGACCAGAGAGCTCCGGTCCGATTCCCGCGCGGGACGGCCGCGAACAGAGCAATTCCGGTCAGGTTCTCGCGCGGGACAACAGCGAACACAGCAGCTCCGGTTCGATTCCCGCGCGGAAGAGCAGTTGACAGAGCAGCTCCGGTCAGGTTCCCGCGCGGGACGGCCGCGACCATCGATGGCGGTCCAAGCCTAGGGAATGTGGCCAACACAGTACACCGGCCGGCGCCGGCCCTTGCCTGCAAACGAAGCCGGCGACCCGGCCGCACGGCCACGCAGATGTAAGAGTCCTGGGAAATCTAGACGCTACGGCAGCCAATAACTCCGAGACGGCTAAACGCGAGAGGTACGTGGGGAGTAGTCCAACGCGCAAACACCTCTAAATCGTTGCCACGGTGGCGGATGATCGCCGATGCGGGAGGTCGAGTTGCTGATGAATCTGATCGGACCGCAGATGAGTCGGAGTGACACAATGGACCGGATGCGCACCAGCAGCGCTCTCTTCCCCCGGCGGTGAAGATAACGCTGAATCTCGCAAATCTTCAACGAACACTTGGCATCGAAGGCACCGGACCAGCGAAGCATTATAAAAATAACACGCGACCCGACGTGCCCGCCGCTCAGGCTGGGACACGCGGGATCTGGTGTATCACCGCGGACACGAGGTTGGTCAGACCACACCCTGTCCCGCGGCAGTCCCAGGCGCTGCCGGCGCCCGGCGCGCGCTGCCGGTCGTGACCAGCCCGTGCAGAGCACCGGGATCCGGGCGTTGGCTCCCTGCCGTCGTCTCTCCGCCGGTGCAGCGGTCAGAGCGGGCGTCTCACTGCTCACCGATGACGTCCTGCGGCGGCAGTGATGACTGCACCACCCAGCCGACCAGGTTTTGCAGCTGGCCCACCAGTGTCTCGTTCTCCTGCAGCGCCAGCCAGACGTCGGCCTGTGCCACCTCCAGGTCGCCGAGTCTGCGAGGGGGGGGGGCAGACAACGGTCAGGCGGATGAGCTGTTTGCGGAAGGTGGACCGTCTCAGGCACGGAAGCGCGCGCCGACTCGGAACCCACAAAGGTGTCCAAATATCTCGCGGCAGCAAGAGTCGCTGCGTACCAACAAAAACCATGTTAAATGTATCACAAATCAATGTGCTAGGTCAATTGGAACATCAGTAGGGTATTCAATAGCCAGATGCCCGCATTTGTCATTTCCATGACGCAGCGACGGTGGGTGACTTGCTTAAAGAAGAGAATGACACGAAGAGTACGTAACTGTACAGGCGCCAAATCGGGGAACAGATGGCATCAATGTAGGCATGCACATACGCAATAGGCACGCCAAATCCACTCGGCTTTGTCGGACACAAAACACCGCGCAAGGGCCGACACCACCCCGTCACCGCCCAGAACACGTGATCGGCGGCGTTCGGTCGGCACGGGCCCGGTGGCCGTCCTGCCCTCACCCGGTGACGAGGTGGCGGCCGGCCTCCTTCTGCACGTTGCCCGAGCGTCGGACGGAGGCGGGCCGGGCCGGGCCGTCGCCGCTGATGGGCCTCACGCAGTCGGCGTACCGCTGCTGCACCTCGCCCAGCCGCGCCGCCAGCTCGTCCAGCCGGCCCTCCAGCTGCACCAGGTCCGTCGACGCGATCTCCTTCTTGATGTACTTGGTCTGCGCCGTCCTGTGGCCGCCGGCACGCCGTCACACGCCCGCCTGCAGCGCCGAGCCCGGCGTGCGGCCGCGTACGCGGTGACGGTGCACACACAGGCCTTGTGCATGTGCTGCACCGTGCTACACCGGGTAGTGAGCACGCGTGCAGTGCCAGGCACGCTCCGCACACGCGGAACTTCGATGGGCGTATGCCCGTCACACATGTAAGCGTCACATCACCCTGGGCCGGATCAATACCACATACACACCACGATGGGCTGCGCGCTTATGCCCTTGATCAGAACATGCGTCGCCGAAGGAGAAGTGGAACGGATAGCCGCCTCACACCAATGACTGATGATAAAATCGACACAGGATGCAGTCCCCCGCCACCAATTATTCAGAACTCGTCAGCTGAAAATTGATCCACATCTCAATAATGCAGCCGAGTTATTCAGCGCGTTTCGATTTTCTGGTAGCATCCATGTGCTCTGGCCCTCGCGCATTATCTCGACCATCATCTCCTGCGCCTGCCCGCTTGGCAGGGTGCGAGGGCGGGCTGCGGCGCTGCACGAACAGATCCGGCCCGGGCGGTGGCTGGCGGACCGGCTGGCGGCGCCTGCGGGAGGGCCTGTGCCGCGCGTGTCACTCACTTGTACCAGTCGGAGAGCAGCTCAGCCATGGAGCTGCGGGTGGGCATGACCTCGCCGTCCAGCAGCGCCTGCAACGACTTGCTCGTGCCCATCAGCTTGATCTTCTCCAGGTGGTGGAACTGCTCATCGTTGTACGTTAGAGCTGAAACAACGCTTGGTCAACATGGTGCCTACAGCAGCTCATTGTCAATTACGGTGATTATGTGCTGTCTGCCGTGTCAGGTTGGCGAGGCACCGCGTCGGCCACCATAGCTTACACACCAGATTTCGCTATGCTGGCAACGGTTCAGCGAGTTGAAGAAGGCTTCAAGATGTCAGACATTGCAGTCTAAATGAAACATTATGAGAAATGCAATGGCCGCCAATGGAAGAGACGGACAAAACGCCAGGGCTTTACAACGATACAGAGGGCCACAGACTGCACGCTATCGCCACAAAAAGCGGCCTCTGTAAGCGACCGGTGAGCTCGGGGATCTATCTTCCCCTCGGGCCATTCTGCGGGGAACCCCAACTGTGGCTGTCCAGTCCGGCTTTTCAGAGCGTCCGCGCTGGACAGACCGCAGCCCGTCCTCAGTCCGTCTGTGCCCCGGAGGCAGGCAGGCGGTCTGGCCCCTTCGGTACACTAAGGGGCGCACCAGTGGCCGCACGTTCGCCCAGACACGCGGGCCGTCCCACCCTCGCCCTTCTCCGCAGAGTCGCTGCAACCGGGGTCACAGGACCAGAATGTTGAGTGCTGTTTAACGTTTTGAGACCTTGGTAATATTCATTCAAAGAAGTGGGGATGAATAACAACTTAATCACAGTTTGATGGATGGCAGAAAACAGTTGAACCCACATACTACTCATTCCTGGTTATCAGCGTGAGTTTTTGGTAAAGCCTAAGTTCACGTTGATGAGTGCCAACATTTTCGCACATCTAGGATTGTGGGTGATGAACACTGCTTTGGGAAGGACCTCCGCACACTGGAAAATACCGGAGTGTGGTGTTGTGTCCTGTGGTACCGGGAATGATTCGCAGCTCCCTGCTGGTTTTAACTAATTATTAGAAACTGAACCTGTTATTCAAATAGGATTTAGTTTTACAAAGGAAAATTCACCTGTGACATACGGACGCGCGCAGGACATCGTACTACGTGTGCGCATATATCTACATTTCCCCTCAACTGATCTTCTCAAGTTCATCTTTTCCCCTCCGCTCTGACCAGCCCCACTCAAGCCCCGATCTCGGGAGGTGGGTCGACTGACCGCGTGCCGTGCGGTCGCGCAGCAGGTGCTGCCAGCTGTCGCGCAGCTTGGCCGTGTAGGTGGCGGCGCGCGCGGCGGCCGTCTTCAGCGCGGGCAGGTGCGCCACGCGGCCGCGCCAGTCCACCAGCAGGCACGTCTCGCTGACGATGCGCCGGTGCAGCTCCGGGATGTTGGTCTCCGAGAGACTGCGCTCCCGCTCCGCCACCTGGCCGAGACAGACGCCGGCGCCGGCGCCGCTCAGCACGCGTCCGCGGCGCACCGGCGGCCGGGCCGGCCAGAACGGCTCCACAATGTGCCCGAGAGGCGCAGACACCGGTAAGGCAGTCTCTCAGATACGGCCGGGGGGTGGCCAGATGGGCAAAACCCACAAATGCATTAAAAATGAGCCTGATCTCCGAAAAAACACTAATACGGGTGCAGAGCCTCTCTCCAGAGCGACGTTAACCTGCGCTCCTGTCCCACATCACATCCCCGCCGGCAGCGCCGCGCGGGGGGACCATCCGCCGGCCGGCCGCCCTCTCACCGTCTTGAGCATCTCCTCGAGGCTCCTGACGGGCTCGGCCAGCTCGGCCAGCGCCTGCGCGGTGGCGCGCTGGGCCGGCTCCAGCTGGCGCAGCAGCGCCGCGCTGGTGCGCTGCGACACGGCCAGCAGCGACCACTGGCGGCCCAGCGTGGCGCTCAGCTGCTGGCTCGCCTCCAGGCTCTCCTTCAGCCGCGTCAGCTCTGTCTTCAGCACCAGGCTGGCGGCCAGACGGCGAGCGCTGGTCAGGCCGACGCACCCACTCCCCGGACGCAAGCGGCCGGCCAACGGCAGGGTCACGTGCGAGTACAGCCAAACGCAACCATCACCGGTGACTGCAACGGAACGCTGTACACTCTGAGCGGTTGGGTTCCCCAAACGATATCTGCTTTAGGTTTGGGCATCGCGCGCAAGAGACCAGTCGGCCTGCGAGCCTCTGACATCAGTGGGCGTGGCCGCCGAGGTCGGACTCACGTGAGCATCCTGACGGCGTGCTCCATCAGCGCGCAGGACATGCTGTACGAGGTGACGCGCCGCTTGAACTCGTAACCCACGCTGCACGCCATCTTGGCCAGGATGGCGTCGTTCTCCACGCTCAGTGTCTGGGGTATCGTCGGGAATTTCGCTGAAAGAAAACAACATTTGCGGTCACTTCCCGTTTAACAAACACGAACCCATGTCTAAGGTGTGCGTGTCTGCATACCAGATCCTTTGTAAGACTTTCATCCTCGCTAAGTTTCTCGTGCCCTGAACCACTAAATGTCAAACATTCGACTCACGACTACAGGCAGCCTGAGGCCAGCTACGTTTTAGACACTTCAGTAACACGCAGTCCGACAAAAACATTCCGGCATGGCCCCCACACGGCAGCGTCTGCGAGACTCCTGCCCGATCGCAGGCCCGAGCGGCGCTCCTCCAGCCAACCGCCGTCTGCGAGACTCCTGCTCGATCGCAGGCCAGAGCGGCGCTCCCCGAGCCAACCGCCGTCCGCGAGGCTCCTGCCCGATCGCAGGCCAGAGCGGCGCTCCCCGAGCCAACGCCGCCACCGGCCGCCAACACTCACGCAGCGGCACCACGCGGCACGGCGTGACGTCATTGTTCTCCTTGTCGAACAGCACGAGCGGCTGGTCGGCGGCGATGGCCGGGTACTCCGACACAGGCGTGTCGGTAGCCACCGCCTCCAGCAGCGGCTGGCCGTCCAGCAGCAGGATCTGGCTGGTGGCCGCTATGCTCGTCTGGCTGGCCACCGCCGACTGCAGCGCTTCGTAGCTGTGGTGGCAAAAAAAAAAAAACAGCACGTCAGTTCCACCCACGGACGCACACTCCGTGTGGGAAGTTTATTGCATGACCACAGGTGGTCCACAAATACACACAAATCAAAATCGTGGGCAATACATGCATACAAAACAGCCCGCAGAGGGTAATAAGATTCTCAGAATGCTTTGGCAGGTATGTGAAGACCCTCTTTAGAAAGTTTCAAAGCCCATCTCTCATCGATTGGCGCAAAATTGTGAGGAACCGCCGGATAAGATAATGGGGTGGCAGTTAACTTAATGGTGGCTCCACACCTGCAGATAGTGCGGTATGGTACCGCAGACCATGAGCTGAATGCCACCAGACGAACTAGCTCGCTTGATAACATGACCACGTGATGGCTGCGAGGTTAAGGAAGGAGGAACAGCTACCTAGACAGGTCTTATGTTAAACACACAATCCAGACATTTGTGAGCGCAGCTACAGCCACCTGTCAACATAGCAGGCGAGAGCCGGCGTCTCCTCCCCCGCCCACCGACCTGGCGTCCGTCGTCAGGTACAGCCGCAGGTGCTGCAGCTGGTTCACGTGGAACACGGGCACGCAGCGGCGGGACGTCATGGCCGTCACCTCGTTGAAGAAGCGGTCGAAGTTCCACATGACGTGTGGATCCACCTCCAGCAGGCCGGCCAGCAGCGGCGTCACCAGCTCCTTGGCGCCGCTGCCGGGATGCAGGAGATGCGTCAGCGGGGCGGTCAGAGGTGCCCCGCTCTGGCAGTGGAGAAAGGCAGCTTACCACTGGACGGGACACCCACTCTGACGCCTCTCAGTTCAGTGGAAATTCTTAATGACTTCACACTTTTCACTTTATTTGTTTCGTTAGGTTTAAAAAACTGCAAAGCACGAGAAGTTGAATGCTTCGAAGACATTCAATCCGTTAATACACCCAAAAAAAACGCATTATAATAGATTGTATCAGCTCAGCAGCAGTTTCATTCGCTAGTCAACAATGGAGCAATGATCGACTCTTCCAGTTACGCGAGTGTCTGACCTGTACGAGGCCACACCGCGTCCATAGCCGCCAGATCGCCCTTTCTCAAGGAGCGGCAGTGACCTCGACCTGCGCGTCAACCGTCACAAGCCTGGCGAGAGAGCGTCGTCCGGTACTCACAGAGACAGCTGACAGGTGTCTGGCAGCTTCTCGCCCCACTCGATTTCACCGCCTTCCGTGGTCTGAATGCCAGATATGATGCCTGAAGTGCAGCGAAACACAACATTTTGGTTGTCAGTGAAGTCAAACGTAAACTAGGGCGCAGCACACCGTCTGTTTGGCAGAACAGAGCCTATCCTTTCATGGCACGCGCGGAAAAGCAAACAAAATGCTGCGCTTCGTCAACCACTTGAAACCACATGGTAGCCCCCCCAAAATGGTCTGTTCATTTCAAGCAGCAGCGCACCCTTCCATGCCTGGCGACCGCGTTCACGCCCCCTCAACGTCAGCCCTGCTACAGCGACCGCCGCCCAAAACCCCGCCCGGCTCACCGGGCTTCTTCTTCGTGGTGATAACGTGCATGGTCTCCTTGTTCTTCCTGCCGCCGTACGGCCGGAAGGGCAGCTGTCCTGTGGCCACGTGGAACAGGGTGACGCCGATCGACCACAGGTCGACGGTGGCGCGGAAGGTCTTGCCAGCCGACTTCCTGAGCACGGCGCGCTCGTACATGTCCGGGTGCTGCCGGCAGCGACGCGCCCGTCAGCCGCCACGGCCGCCCGGCAGGTTCCCCTCACACATCCCCGCCATCCCGGTCCGGCCTGCGCAGGCCAGTTCCTGCTGGGGTCCGGTCCGTATCGCTCAGCCACGGCGGCCGCGTCAGCGATGAACGGAGCAGAGGCCATCGGTGCCGCAGAGCGACAAGAACCGGTCACACGCCCCTCGGCACGCAGTGTCGGGCGACGACTGACCAGGTACTCCTCGGTGCCGTACAGGGACATGAACTGCTGGTCGTCGTCCAGCTCCCGCGCAGCGCCGAAGTCGGTCAGCTTGTAGATGGTGGAGCCGTCCACGTCGATGTACTTCATGATGTTGCCCGGCTTCAGGTCCCGGTGCACCAGGTTCAGGTCGCGCAAGTGTTTCATGCCGTCCGCTGCCCAGCAAGCTCCACGTTATGCTTCTTACCACCGCTTCACAGAAAGCACAGCCATGTAGGCATCATCGAACTATGTGCAGAAATAGACTTTACTATATAAAGCATACAGTCTGTACTGCACGTTCGACTATGTATTCGTCATCAGATCAAGTGCATAACGTTAAATATTTTACACCGTTCACATTTACAGTTAAATGACCACAAAGCACAGCATTTAAATCGGCACATTCGCACAAGCGCGATTTTTTCTAGGTTTCAAACAGATCCCAGCATTTCCTACATGTTCTTTGCCTTCTAGGCTACCTTGGGCGAGTCCTTCTCACAGAGCTATTCCGGGCGTGGGAGGCTGAGTAATAAGGTATTGTGGTCTAGATATGGTTCAACAGAAAAAAGAAAACATGGGTTCGGTTCCTAACCCCATCCCATACAGTTTGCAATGGCCAGAGGCCCACAGTTTGTACCAGGTTTGGCTATGCCCATAACAACAGCAGTTTCTTGAGCTCGTGAATAAACCGACAATATAATAACCATAGCCAAGTGTGCAGTTTAACATTGATATTTGACATAAAGGCAGACCCACGCAGGAATTCGGAGCACGACACGGGCCGGTGGCCCAAAACGACGTTCCTCTCACTGACCAGGCATGACCAGGCATGACAGTGCAATGTATGAAAACAATGGTCCACACAGCTCAAGAATATTGCAGGCTTATTGTTTTCGCCTTCAGTACAACCCACTTGGCAATGGCAACAAGCCTTCAGCTGAAATGATCCAATCTCACCATACTGGAATATGCAATAGCGCAGCCAAACATCGCTATGGTAGTCCCGTGACACTTACAAAGATGTCTCAGGACCAAGAAGAACTCCTTCTCATCCAGCCCATATGCGTTCTCCGGGTCGTCCAGCATGTTGAACAGGCTGCCACCAGTGCACAACTCCATCACGATCACCTTCCCGCGGCCCTCTTGCTGAAAATGCAGTGCATACTGTCATTACAGGCCATACTGGACATAGTTTTAATGAAGAAGCTCCATCCATTGCAGTGGTGAAAGCCGTGATTGTATACTATCGTTGCACAGATGACACGTGAACTATGTACAAAAATGGCCAAATATCCTTGGAGGCACAGAGAATGAGTCACTGCATTCTCAGACAATCCCAAACACCAGTCAGCTAAGACCACTGACAATTCCAGCAGCCAGTCCTCGGCTTGACGCACCTCCTCCTCTATCGCCAGAAGTTTGACGATGTTCTTGTGGTTGACCTTCTTCAGCACGTCGAACTCGCGCATCTGCACCTCGTGAGGTCGCATGTGGCTCAGCTGATTGAAGGTCTTCACGGCTACCGGCTCGCCATTTTGCTGTTATGAAATCGTATAGCGAAATGGTTACATTGCATGCAATAAGAGGCTCAAAAGGCATTGCCTCCTTCCACAACTTAGCCCTCCCACATTCATGACACCAAATACGGCAACATCGGTTTTGATTTCAACTCCAAGGCAACCATGAAAGAGGTTGTTAGGGCTGTTGTTTGGGGTCATTTGTGAGATGTTTAAACAAAATATGCAAATACCTATAGACTGGGGTCATTCATTCCATGTTAAAAAATGTGTGCATGCCTATAGGTTGGGTCATTTATGTGCAAAACCATGCAACTGGCAATATTTACCAAAAAACATACTGATATAGTTTTCTGCAATGTTTTGGACTGGATATTGGTACAGAATGTACAATAATTCAAACTATTGCCCTTGTCATCCAAATGTCACAAATGCCTTTGGCAAGGATGATAACCAAAGCAATTATTTTATCTGTGTATACCCTGATGATGTGATGAAGCATGCATGTCTATGTCATAATATGAAGTGGTTGGCACCAGTTCACGCATCCAAGCTAAATATGAAAACGTTCACGCGTCACCGGAAAACTGCACTCTGGTCACTCACCTTGTTGACTCCTTGGAAGACAGCACCGGTGGCACCTTTGCCGAGCACACTGGTGGTGCACCAGACGTAGTTGGTCGATCCCCGCAGGAAGGTCATGGCTGCAGGCTCTTCAGCCGACCGAGGTCGGCCTGCGTCGCTGGTCACAGGTCAGCGGGGACGGCGAGGTGGATCTGTCGAAGCCGACCTCTACAGCCGATCAGGCCACCCTCTGAAACCAGTGGACAGGATGCCGTACTGCAAAAGGACATTCCAGCCAACACTGTATGACTGACTGATTGATGGTACACATCAATCAATGGACCATTGTGTTGATTTGTGTAGCGTGGGTGTCAGCAGAAGCAATGTGGGCATGGAGTAACAATCAACCCATTCATAGGAGCATGGCATGGCCAGTTCACAAATCATAAGCTCACACCATTTTGCATTTGAAAATATTTGGTCTTACCTTATGAATGGATGGATATCTGGAACAAGAGCTAATGCTTACCAATGCTTGTTGCGGAGCCCTGACCCATACTATCTAATCATGAAATTCCAGGTATTTAGAACAGAAGAATTTGGTGGCAAAAGTGTTATGCCTCTCAGTGCTTGGTGCAGCCTGTCCTGCCCTCTGACACCACATGGTCTTTAGCATGATGCCCCCACCAGTCAAGGGCAAACAGTGAGCACCTAAAGCAACTTGAACCCACCCTGCAGTGGGTGGTTGGATTGATAGGTAAGTACTCTAACCAACTAAGCTACCAGGACAGGCAAAGATGGGACAATGCAGAGGGACTAAGATTTAAATTTCACAGGTTTGATGGACTACTCAAACATATTCTGATCTAGTATGATATGGGGCCTAAAACAGTTTGTGGGCTGAGATTTTTAAACAAAAATGCCAGCTGCTTGCCTTGTGAAGAAGCAAACTTTGAGTCAGCAGCAAAAAATGATTATGTTATGAAGCAATTATACTATCTTTTTGTTCTACAATTGTCAAAAACATTTTGTATGAATATTTGAACACATCTATGACCATTTTTGAGGGGCAGCTGCAGTTGCAGTTGTTTGTTAACTAATGCAGGCATGGACAAGGATTGGCCTGTGCATGCTCAGTGACAAGCATTTTGCCCCTTTTATGAAGCTGCTTGGTTGAACAAATGTTCTGGTGGTTGATCTGCCTTAACTACCAATTTGCCATATCTCTCCATAAGAAATACAAACAAAAATTGAGCAATCTTAGCATGCTAAGGCTTAAAATAAAGAATGGATGGGAAACACTAGGACAGCCCTCAACTAATAAATAGCACAATACAAACATTAGAAAATGGAATACACTTTTCCCCCCATCAGCTGAAGTAAGATTATTATAACACATATATGTTAACTCTTTTTGCTCAAGTTTCACCTCCTTGAAAACACCACTCAAATGAGCAATGAACATAGTTTATGTCACTGTCATCTATGACCATCCCAATATGTCATTAGCATTTGTACTGTCTAAAATTCTGCACTGAATATCCTGTAAGCACCATAATGACCATTGTTATGATTATGAATAGGTAGTTTTCGGGAACAAAATACCTGGTCCATAAAACATGGAGATACTGAAAAGATCTCTTTGAGGGCAAGAATGGGGTACACTGTGACAGCTTCTTAAATATGGAGCAAAAATTCCTTAAATGGGCAGCCTCTGCTCCAATCATTATCATTCAGGTCATCCTGATGAAAACATTGACTATAGAACTAATCTGCTTCCACCCCACATCCAATCCAAAAAGTCTTTAGCCTGAAATTCCCTGACAATACCACAATGTTTTGACATATCAGCTCTCTAGGCAGACAGCTTGATGACAACCATGCACAAACCTCCACAGTGCCAGGATTTTCAATGTAAATGCCCAAAAATTGCTGCTTTGAGATGTTGCTAGGCCAGACAAGTTCAGCACAAGTGGATTCACAGGCACACTCCACATGGGCAAACCGCTGCCCCATCTGGACCATCACACAGACTTCCCGAAACATCCTTTCAGTCTGCCACAGTTTAAAGATGACCACTATGATAGCATTGAGGGCAATTTTTTACTTGGGTACCTGTATGGCCGACGGAGGGAAGAGCTACGGTAGCTGCAGGATTTCGAGTATTGTCGTGCGGGGCAAAAGCTGTGAGGCATCAGCTAACATTGTGACGTCACTGAAAATGGTTTTGCATCGATCGGGATCGGGGTTCTTTCGGGCCGACTGAAGGCCATAAGGCTTTTGCTTGTGATATGGTGTCACTGGTATTCGGCTGGGTATGTGACGTCACTGGTCGTGAGTGTGTAAGGCTCTTTTGGCTCCACTGAATGCCGTAATGCATCAGCTGGCCATGTGTCGTCACTGGTATTCGATTGAACATCAGGCGCGGCCGGCCTCGTTCCATCTTTACTTTTCGTACCTGTCTGCTGCAAGCATTTGCGTGCCGCATAAAGGTTTGACCGAATTACCCCAATGTGTGACGTCCCTAATCATCACTTCATACGAGTGCACTTAGGCCTCACGACCACGGTGTGTCGTGGTCCGCGAAGTATCACCGGATAGCGTGACGTCACTGGTATTCGAATAAAAACTGGGCGCAACAGGCCGTGCTTCATTTTTACCTTTGTACTTGTCTACTGCAAGCATTGGCGTGCTGGATGAAAGCTGCCGAACCACCTGAGTGTGTGACATCACTGGCCATGAGTTCCAACGGTGCTTTTCGGCCAACTGAAGACCACAAGGTGTCAGCTAACGACGTCACTGCTATACGACTGTAAGACGTCAATGGCCGTGGGTTTCCACGGGCCCTATAGGACCGACGAAATGCCGTTAGGCATCAGCTGGCGATATGACGTCACTGGCATTTGGCTGAACATCATGCAACAGGTCATGCTCCATTTATACCTTTCGTACATGTCTGCTGCAAGTATTGGCGGATTTTTTGTGCGGCCAGCTGAAGACCATAAAGCATCAGCTAACGATGTGACGTCGCTGGCACTCGACTGTGCGTGTCGCTGGTCATGAGGTTTTACGGCCTCTTTTGGGGCGACGAAAGGTCACACGGCAATGACTGAAGATGTGACGTCACCGGTATTCGAATGAACTTCGGGGGCGACAGACCATGTTCCACCTTTATCTTTGGTACCTGTCCATTGCAAGCATTGCCGTGGAAGGCTCTGCCAAATTACCTGAGTGTGTACGTCACTGGCCATCAATTTGCACACTCTTTTGAGCCTACTATAGGCCATAAGGCATCAGCTGACGATATGATGTCACTGGGTTTCGACTAGACATCATGCGCAACAGGCCATGCTCCATCTAAACCATGTTTCGTCTGTACCTTTCGCACCTATCTACTGCAAGTATTCGCGCGACACAGGGGCTCTGCCGAATTACCTTAGCGTGTGGTGTAACTAGTTATGAGTTAACGCGGGTTTACTCTGGCTGAATGAGGGACATCAAGCATCAGCTGACGATATGACGTCACTGGTATTCGACTAAACTCCAGGCGCGACAGGCCATGTTCTATCTTTACCTTTCGTACCTGTCTCTTGGAAGTATGGGCGTGCTGAATGAAGGCTCTGTCGAGTCTCCTGAGTAAGTAACGTCACTGGTCAAGAGCTTTTTACAGGACCTTTTGTACCCCCAAACGGTATAATGCATCAGCTGATGATATGACGTCACTGGTGTCCGACTTAACATCAGGCGCGACAGGCCATGTTCTATCTTTACCTTTCGTACACGCCTATTACAAGTATTGACGTGCTGAATGAAGGCTCTGTCGAGTCTCCTGGGTGTGTAACGTTACTGGTCATGAGTTTTTTCTGGCTCCTTGGAACCCTCTATAACTCTATAAGGAAACATGCATCAGTTGACGACATGATGTCAATGGTGTTCGACTTAACATGAGGCGTAACAGGTCATGTTCCATCTTTGCCTTTCGTACCTGTTAAGTATTGGTGCGTTAAATGATGGCTCTGCCGAGTCACCTGAGTGTGCGACGTCACTGGTCATGAATTTTTACCAACTATTTTTGGCTGAGCGAAAGCCATAAGGCATCAGCTAACGAAATGACGTCACTGGTAATCCACTGAGTGTGTGACATCACTGGTCATGAGCTTTTACGGGCCTTTTTTGGCCGAGTTCAGGTCATTAGGCATCAGATAACGTTATGGCGTCACTTGTATTCGAATTAACATCAGTTGCAATAAGCCATGTTTCATCTTTACCTTTCGCACCTGCCTACTGCAAGTATTCGTGCGCTACAAAAAGGCTCTGTCGATTCGCCTGAGCGTGTGGTGTAACTGGCCATGAGTTTGTGCAGGTTTACTCGGGCTGACTGACGGACATCAAGCATCAGCTGACGATATGACGTCACTGGTAATCGACTAAACTCCAGACGAATCATCTGGGTGGGTGACGTCGCTGGTCATGAGTTCATACGGATTCACTTGGGCCGCCCAAGACCACAAAGCAACACCTCCCGTGAAGCATCACAGGATGATATGTCGTCACTGTTATTCGACTTAACATCAGGTCCAACATGCCACGTACTTTCTTTACCTTTTGTACTTGTTTATTAAAGGTATTGACGTGCTGAATGAAGGCTCCGTCGAATCTCCTGAGTGTGTGACGTCACTGGTCACGAGTTTTTTACGGGCTCCTTTGAACCCATTTTAGGTTATAATGCATCAGCTGACGACATGACGTTACTGGTGCTCGACTAAACATCAGGCGCAACAGGTCATGCTCCATATTTGCCTTTCGTACCTGGCTGCTGCAAATATTCGCGTGCTGTATGAAGGCTCCGCCGAATCACCTGAGTATGTGACGTCACTGATCATCAGTTGGTAGGAGGTCACTTGGCCACCTACGGCTACGGAGTTCCGCAGCAGAGGTGGGAGATGCACCATAGTTAAGCACACTAATTTTATTGTGCGCACCATTAAGTAACAACTTCAAACGCAACGGGCTGTTTCAACGACTAAAATTGTGAACAAACGTAAACACAAAACAAAGGTGATCCCAGCCCACAAACCGACGTATATGCAAAGCTATTCCGCCCGACATCACAGGATGCGCCCCTGAGCAGCTACGGTCCGGAATGCCCTGATGGCTAAATAATAATCAAGGGCGCCGCCTAGCGGCCATAAGTCTGGGCCACAGCCCGAATATCAGTGACGTCATAAGGTCAGGTGATGCTTGATGTCCTTCAGTCAGCCCGAGTAAGCCCGCGTAAACTCATGACCAGTTACACCACATGCTCAGGTGATTCGGCAGAGCCTTTATGTAGCGCGCGAATACTTGCAGTATGGAGGTGCGAAAGGCAAAGATGGAACATGACCTGTTGCGCCTGAGATTAAGTCAAATACCACTGATGTCATATCGTCAACTGATGTCTTGTACCCTATAGGTACAAAAAAGCAGCCCGTAAAGAACTCATGACCAGTGACATTACACACTCAGGAGATTTCACAGAGCTTTCCTTAAGCATGTCAATGCTTACAATAGACAGGTACGAAAGGTAAAGACGAACATGGCCTGTCGCGCCTGGTGTTAAGTTGAATACCAGTGACGTCACATCGCCAGATGATACTTGATGTCCTTCAGTCAGCCCGGGTAAACCCGCGTTAACTCATAACCAGTCACACCACACGCTCAGGTGATTGGGCAGAGCCTTTATGTGGCGCGCGAATACTTGCAGTAGATGGGTGCGGAAGGTAAAGATGAAACATGACATATTGTATCTGATGCTTAATTGAATACCAGTGACGTCATATCGTTACCTGATGCCTAATGGCCTTAAGTCGGCCCAAAAAGGCGCGGGAAAACTCATGACCAATGGCGTCACACACTTAAAGGATTACCAGCGACGACATATCGTTAGATGATGCCTAATGGCTTTCCCGGCCAACAATAGCCTGTAAAAACTCATGATGACGCACTCAGGTGATTCGGCAGAGCCATCATTAGGCTCGCCAATACTTTAACAGGTGCGAAAGGCAAAGATGGAATATGACATGCTATGCCTGATGTTAAGTCGAACACCAGTGACATCATATCGTCAACTGAAGCATTATACCATATAGGGGGTTGAAAAGAGCCCGTAAGAACTCTTAACCAATGACGTGATATAACACGCGAATGCTTGCAGTAGACAGGTACGAAAGGTAAAGATGGAACATGGCCTGTTGCGCCTGATGTCGAGTCGAATACCAGTGACGTCATATCATCCCGCGATGCTTTACAGGATATGATGCTTTGTTGCATTGGGCTGCCCAAGTGAACTTGTATAAACTCATGACCAGTGACGTCACGCACTCAGATGGTTCAGCATCACCTTGATATAGCGCGCGAATGCTTGCAGTAAACAGGTACGAAAGGCAAAGATAGAGCATGGCCTGTTGCGCATGACACCTAGACGAAAACCGGTGACGTCATATGGTCAGCTGATGTGGTATGGCTTACAGTGGGTTCAAAACAGCCTATACAAATTAATGGTTAGTGACGTTACACACTCAGGTAATTCGGCAGACCCTTCCTTCAGCATTCAAATACTTGCAATGGACAGGTACCAAAGGTAAAGATGGAGCATGGCCATGGCCGCCTGAATTGTATTCGGATACCAGTGACGGCACATCTTCAGTTAATGTAGTATGACCTTTCGTCGGCCCAAAAGAGGCCGTAAAATCTGATCACAAGTGACATCACACACAGTCGAATGCCAGTGACGTCACATCATTAGGCTATGCTTTACGGCCCTCAGTTGGCCCCCCAAAGATCCATAAAAATGCATGACCAGTGACGCCACACACTCACGTGATTTGGTAGCTTTTATTCATCACGCCAGTGCTTGCAGTAGACAGGTACGAAGCTAAAAATGAACCTTGACCTGTTGCGACCAATATTTAGTCGAATATCACTGACGTCACGATACCCAGTGATATTTCACGGAACATGATACACCGCGGCCGTGGGGCCTAAGTGCACTCGTATCAAGTGGTGATTGGTGACGTCACACATTCAGGTGATTCGGTCAAGCTTTTATTCGGCACGCAAATGCTTGCAGCAGACAGGTACGAAAGGTAAAGATGGAATAAGGCCCGTTGCGCCTGATGTTTCATTGAATACCAGCGACGACATATCGTCAGATGATGCTTTACGGCATTCATTGCACCCAAAAGAGCCCTAAAGCCTCACAACCAGTGACGTCACATATCCAGTCGAATACCAGTGATATCATATCGCTAGCAAATGCCTTGTAGCCTTCAGTCGGCCCAAAAGAACCCAGATCGATGCAAACCCATTTTCAGTGACGTCACTACGTCGGCTGATACCTAACAGCATTTCTCCATCATGGCAGTACAGGAACCCTGCAGCCAGCGTAGCTCTCTCCCCACCGTCGGCAATACAGGTACCCAAGTAAAAGAAAGCCGCATTGAGATAGCCATAAATATAACATACTTTTTGCCATAAAGAGTGGGATGTGCAATGTGCAAATCGCAACATGTCAAATGACCTTCTGTTCTTAAAGTCAATGCTGGAAAATGGCATTTCCCATGCAACCAATCCTGATGCAGGAACAAAAAGATATGTCTGCTTTAAGTCTTCATTGATGCCGACATGCCCCATGAACAAGCGTGCACAAACAGTACGATCGTAGCTACAGGAAAGATTACCTTGGCCCGTAAATGGCACCAATATCCTTGAATAACGAGCCACTTCAAATTGTCCAGCCCTGCTTTCGCAGCTGGAGAATACGGAGGGCCAAGGCCATTGAACAGAGGAGTGCGTGTAATCACCTCGAGACTGCTGGGTTGTTTCCCGTGTGTTTTCTTCGGGCACAAATTGTCTGTCAATATGGCGCATTCGGAATCATGATAGCGGCTTCCATATAACGTCACAGCATACCGTTGAAACTATTTAGTACCAACACTTCCTAAGAGGGTACTGGCGTTCAATAACGATTGGTACAGCTGAGATACGTGCCGATGTTAGTCTGGTGACAAAGCACGTATGAGCCGATGAGGGTTCCGGCGTGCTGATGTGTGATTCCGGCGGCAAAGTATTGTGAGCCGATGTGGGATTCCGGCGTGCCAACGAGGGATTCTGGCATTTTTCAGCGACGATCGGGGGTGGGGTCTGTGTGATGATACCGCGGTGAGCCTTGCACCAGGCGGTTACTAACAACTGGAGCTTAATGCCGAGGTACGCGTGGTGTATGGCTGTACGATTCCGCTCATAATCGAGGGCGTCTGATCGTTTCACATAACCTGCAGACTGTGTGAGGCGACCAACCTATCGGTCTCCATTTAATATGACCAGTGACAAGCATGCATGAGACGGTGTGAATGTGTAAATGCTTGCTATAGAATCCTAGTAACGTGGCATTTGTTATCCATGTTAGGGCAAAATCATACGCTTCCTTAAAGTTCATGTAATGTTGGTGACCCAACGTTTTCGCTGCCATGCGTAGTCACCCCAGTTAGTCGGTTACGATTATTCACCGTTAGACGATCACTCCCAAGACGTCATTTTTCTTTCGTGAGGTCGATTTTTAGTGAGTGCAGCTACTATCTCTAGAAAGGCATTCATTAACATTATGCATTACAGAACGTCATGTGCTAGCACGTAACTTTGTAAAAAAGCATACATAAACTTAATCTAAATTATCGAACTAGTCACGACGCTAGTTGCTTTTACGCCAGCTGATGTGGTCCACCTTCTATTACTTAAGCAATATGTCAACAATATATATTATGCCATATGGCATGGCATGGCATGTAATATACTTGTACTACTTTTATTTTCTTACCACCAAATCCGCTCATGATTTCACCGAGAGTTGTTTTCATAGGTAAGACAGTAGTAATAGCCTTATTCCTCGGAGAACAACTAGGAGAGAGTTGTTTTCTGTGTTTGTTTGACGTTTGTCCGGCGTTAAATGTTAACACTTTACGGTGAACGTGTGGCTCGGAGAGGAAGAGTGTTCATGAGCAGGAGTCTGGACTGAATGTCGTTCTACGACTGGCGCCGGCTAGCTCCCCGGCGACGCTATTCCAGGCCTTCAGCAAGAGAAATCGTGCCCTGTACAAATTCAGCCCCCCTTTCATCCCGCCTCGCATGGCCAGGGCGAGGCAGTGGTAAAAGTGGGGAAGTCCGGGATCGCCAAGCGGTTGGGAAACAGTTTACAAACGTGCCCGTCACGATTCCTGTTACTGTACACGCTGTACTGCAACACGCCTCACTGGACTGCAGACCGTACCCTGGCCGAATTCCTGCTTGGGCGCCCGATGCATGACACGATGAACCTGGTGTACTCAGACCTCACCGCGAAGATAGAATGCCAACAGCAGACGTGAAAGGACAGCTCGGACCCGGATGCCTAAGACCAACAATTTCAGGTGGGCGAGAAGATATATATAACAGCCATTCCCCAGCTGGGGCAAAGGTGGGTGCCGGCGGTGGTGAGGTCGGTCGCGGGCCAAACCTGTGAGGTCCGCTTGACGGACGGGCGGGTGTGCACGCGCCACCGCTCTCACCTGAGGACTCGCTACGTCCCCGCTTCGGCTGGCAATACGCAGTCAGCTGGCTCCGAACCCCGCCGCCTGTTGCCGCTGCAGCAGCAGCAGCAACAGCAGCTGCAGCAGCTGCCGAAGCTTGAAAGGTTGGCCACTCAACATGGCGCCGTCTCTGCCGCTGCTCGAGGCGCCGATTCCGCCGCCGCACGCGCTGCCGCCTGTGCTGCCGCTGAGCGTGGCGTCGTCTCCACCCATGACCGCACTGCCCAGTGCGTCACCTCCGTTTCAGTCTGGCACTGAGGTTATAGAAGCCCGGCCCCAACACTCCCGCACGGTCCCGATGTGGTTGGACCTATAACTTCGCTGGGCCCCAGCGTTCGTGTAGTGCCCCGATGCGTTCCCACTTGTGATTTCATCGACAGTCGTTGTCTGCGGTTGTTTGACGTTTGTTGAATGTTAAGCCTTAACGGTGCACTTGTGCCTCGGAGGGAGAGTGTTCAGTAGCAGGAATCTGGACTGAATGTCGTCCTACGGCTGGCGCCAGCCAGCTCGCCGGCGACGTTAGAGTTTACAGAGAATAAGGGCCGAGGCAGAGGGAGCCGGGCGCGGAAGGAGTTTGTGCGTGTGTCGTTTGTGTGTTTACTTTGTTTCCGTAACAAAGTAATTACGAATGATACACCTACTCCAACCCGAATTTTGGTCATTTGAATTGCCTTCCCCGACGTGAAAGATCAATGCTTTTATCGCCCGACATGACCACTGCGGAAAAATGACTTGTCATGTCAAGCCAATGTGGTGTTGTGACGTAACAAGTTTGGGATTGGGAGCAGTTCACAGGAAACACCTTGGTATGAATGTTCGATAGGATTGCCGGCAAAAGGCCCCGTGTATTGTCCGATGATGGTTGTCCAAGGCGCAGTCAGTGAATCAGTGAAAGCCATTCAGGAAGCAGCTGAATGGCTTCAACAATGGCATGCTCTGTCACCAAAGCGGCGGAATGGTCGATACATGTCTCCATATGTCACCCGGGCCACGTTTGTGTCGTTTTGGCCGGTCTTGCACGCAGCCTGCACGGAGGCTCGTCTCTAAACCTGGGGTGATTTCCGGCCACGTGGCTGCCCCTGTCGGGGAAAACCCAGGAGACCTACCCGCAGGAGACCTACGCTCACGAGACCTACGCTCGCTGGACCTACGCTCAAAAGACCTACACTTGCTGGATATACGCTCACGAGGCCTACGTTCGCTGGACCTACCCTCCCAAAACCTACGTTCGCTGGACATGCGCTCAGAAGACCTACGCTTGCTGGACCTACGCTCACGACGCTTACGCTCGCTGGACCTATGCTCACGAAACCTACGCTCACTGGACCTATGCCCAGGAGACTACGGCGACGTGATGTCCACATTATCGAGTCACTGTTGCCTGGCCCGTCACCACCTACCGTGGAGAGGGTGAACGAAAGCTGATATTAAAGGCACTAGATAGCGTTGTCCGCTGCTACATGGATGTGCATTGCACCTTAACACGCGCCCGGGTGGACGGCTGGATACGGTGGCGCGTCAGGAGACCTACGTCCAGGAAACCTGGGCGCCCCAGGCCTACACTCAGGAGGCCTACGTCCACGGGACCTACGCTCGCAAAGCCTACACCCAGGAGGCCTACGCTCATTGCATCTACGCCCGGGAGACCTACGCTCACGAGACCTAGGCCCACGAGACCTAGGCCCACGAGGCCTACGTCCAAGAGGCCCACGTCCAATAGGCAGAATGCAGTTGGATCTTGATGCGAACAAATAGTTTGCATGCAGGCTAGGTACTATCTACATGTTAGCAGGATCATGTGCGCTGCCTCGCACTTGGGTTTTCTTCAAGAAGACGTCACTTACTTTTCATGTATAAACAAATAGATTCCAATCATACGACCTTCTTAAAAACTGGACGATATCTCACATCAAGGATATTATTTCACAACACCATGCCATTTATACCGTAATCACTCTATACACCGTCCTACATCAGAAAACCGGTGTGGGTACCCCACCCACGTTTTCAAATCTCCAGTGCTGTTCACGAATACGGCGCTCTTCTCACGATTCTCAAGGAAGTGTGGTTCTCCAGGCAATGCGACGGCAAGAAGCACCCGAGCAGGCGCGGACGCTGCGTGCAGCAAACGCACGTCACCAATACAAAGCTGAATGGGGGGCAGGATGGAGTAAGTGCCCCCGTAATAGCAACCGCAGCCAGCTTATCATCGCCTTCCAGTTAAAACTTTCCCTTCTAAACACGATGTGAGCAATAACCACTGACCCCTTGTACATGTGGTCTGGGCGGGTGGCGTTCGGCCGGTCGATACTTAGTTGCCTCTAGTCCAACAACGGATCTCCCGGCAAGCTAGAAGAAACGCCGACAAGACAAACGTAGCATGTGTGCATTCGTGTAAAAATATCCAAGCTGTGACGACCGTCTGATCGCTTTCGAGTCCATACTCACGCATTATGACGCGTAACTTCGGCTAGATTGCTTCAAGTCGAGTGAGGGACCTTCCGGCATGCTAGATACGGTGGCACGTGAGGAGACCTACGTCCAGGAAACCTATGCCCCCCAGGCCTACACCTAGGAGGCCTACGTCCACTGGACCTACGCTCACGAAGCCTGCACCCAGGATACCTACGCTCACTGCATATACGCCCAAGAGGCCTACACTCACGAGACCTTTGCTCACGAGACCTGGGCCCACGAGGCCTACGCCCAGGAGGCCTACGTCCGCTGGACCTACTCTCACGAGACCTGCGCCCGGGAGGCCTCTGCTCACTGGACTTACGTCCAGGAGACCTACACTCACGGGACCTACGCCCAGGAGACCCATGCTCACGAGACCTATGCCCAGGAGACCTACACTCACTGGACCTACGCCCAGGAGACCTACACTCACTGGACCTACGCACATGAGGCCTACGATGACATTATTCCCAAATTATCGAGTCTCTGTTGGCTGGTCGGCTGCCCTTGTCGTGGGAAGGGTAAACGAATACTGACTATTAAGGGCGCGAAATAGCGATGCCTGCTGCTCCATGGTTCTGCGTCGCATCTCACCACCGTCACGAAAAAAGTGTGTGTGTGTGTGAGGAGAGAGAAAGAGAGAGAGAGAGAGAGAGAGAGAGAGAGAGAGAGACCGCATTTATAGAATTTGTAAGAAAGCGGTATAATAATGGACATCGGTGATAAGTCCATGTAAGCAGACCAAAGCATCCGGATAATTGCAACGTGCGTGTGACTTTTCCCACGCTGA